TAAGAGGGCAGGAACCATGGGAAATTCCAGCGCTAGCCTTTCCTGGCATCATGGTTTTGGCAAAGTTACTTGATGTCTCCATGGCTTTTATTAATCTCTGATGAAATGGTGATGCATAAACTGTGGCTGTCTGCTAAAGTACTGAGACAGTGTACAATGATGAACACTGGACAAATGTCAGCCACTGCTCTTGGTCCTTGAATTCTCCACACTCCTTCAGCCTCACAAGCTTTCGAAAAATTCTCTGACAACTCCCTTTCCCTTGGGGAATATCCCTCATCCTTCAAACCTCAGGTGAAAGGCCACTTCCTCCAAGGAAGCCTTCCCAAGGCCCTCAAACATGTCCCCTGTGGCACACTCTCTAATGAAACTGTTTACTGTTCTCTCAAAGCACTTAACAAAGTTATAAATACACATATTACATATTTCCTCAATTCTAAGAATGCCAGTGACTATAGCACACAAATAACTGGTTCTCAAGACAAAAAGAAAATGCTAAATATCTAAAATTTGAGGTAGAATCCATTACATGGTCTTCAATGTCTATTTCCCTCTAGATTAAGCTACCTGCTATAATAGTCTACTCTATACCCTCTAAGCACAGCAGTGTCCACACAAAATAGGTGCTCAATAAATGTGTGCTGAAAGACTATTAGAAGTCCAACATTGCCAGGTGTGGTGGACCATGTCTACACAGGGAACTCCCAGTCAGCCAGTCAGCGAGCACTCCATAGGGAGATCCTGTCTTAAAACAAAGAAACAAAAACAGCCAGGTGGTACCAGACACCTTTATCAAGGCAGAGGCAAGTGTCTCTGTAAGTCTGAGGCTAGCCTGGTCTATATAGTGAGTTCCAGGATAGCCAGGGTTATAAAGAGAGACCCTGTCTCAAAATCAGAGAAACAAACAAAAAACAACAAATAAGAAAACCAAAGTTCATGTTTGTTTTAAAAAAGAAGCTATAGCCTTAAATGAAAGCTGGAATTAATATTCATAATTCCTGCTGACTATGATAATTCTTCACATTTTAAGAAAGCTTTTTACTTGCAAAAAGTTTTTTTTTAATCTTTTATTTACCATGACCTAAAAGTAAATCAATTCCTAAGAATAGCAGCATTACCATCAGCTCTGACCAGCTCTATGGCTGCCACTTCATAAAGCCTGGTAGAAAGTGTCTTTTTACCTAAGCATAATCTATAATCAAAACCTATAAGCTTCTGGTTCTCCTAGATGCCTGAATGCCTATTATGTCCTTAGGCAATAGACAGCAATTCAATAAAGCAGAATCAACAGATGAACCTATAGACAAAAAGAACACACACACACACACATACACAATGGAATATCACACAGCTACTAAAAAGAATCAAGGTTGCCTAAAAGAAAATCAGATAGTTAAGAGTCAGAGATTGGGGAAGTCTGCTATGAACCCATCTTCTGGACATGACAGGGCTCTTGCCACTGAGGAACTCACAGCAGCTATGATTATCCACACAAGACTCACAAAAGATCAAGTCAGTCAACATTTCAGCATGATGGGGAGGCTCTCACAAGGCCCCACCCCTAGCTAAAGAGCTACTGGCAACTGATGGCTGCTGGGAAAGGGAGAGTCAATTTTCTCAGGGGTGTGATCTCTGATAGACTGCCCATGCTCCGGCAAGTGTACCCACACCCATGTGCATGCAGGAAGCCCAAACTGGACTTTGTGAGCTATTTAAAAAAAAAAAAAAAAAGGTCACGAGGGAGATAGGCGGAGCTGTGAGAGATGGATATGAGCAAGCTATATTGAATGCCTAAGAGATTCTATAAATTATAATAAACACATTACAGAAAAAGAAGCCTATCTGTGGCCCTTTCTAGAGGCTTCAGTTCCTTCCCAAAGCACCACTCATTATGTGTGACTGTTTAAAAATGGGAGGAGGGCAAATGCTTCCACATTTTCAGAAAAACAAATTTTATTCCCTTGTGTGTGTGGTATGTACACATATGGCTCCAGGGCACGTGTGTAGCTATCTGTGTGTATGTTTGTATTATGTGCATGTGGTGGTATGTAGATCTGCATGTATGTGTGTGGTGTGTACACATATGCTCCAGGGCACAAGTGTGTATGTGTGTGGTGTGTATACATAAGCTCTAGGGCACATATGTAGATCTGTGTATATGTGTGGTAGTATGTACACATATGCTCCAGGACACGAATGTGTGTGTATGTGTGTGGTGTGTACACATAATGCTCAAGCACATATATGTAGGTTCAGTGGACAATTTTGAGAGTGGTTCTTCCTTCCACTTTGCGGAGGCAGAATCTCTCGTTTCTGCGGTGCTAGATACTTCAGGCTAGCTGGCCTTCAAACTTTCAGGCAATCCTCCTGCCTCCTCCTCTCATCTCACCATAAGTATGAAAGGATTCCAGATGTGTGCTATCACAGCTGGCTCTTTATATGAGCTTCTGGGATCTGAACATGTCAGGTTTGTGAGGCAAGTGCTTTTACCACTGAACCCTCTCCCCAACTCATCTCCAGTTTTAAACCAAACACTTCAGTAATTTTAATTTTTACCTAAAAGTATGTAACTTATAGAAATACTTAGCATCAATATAAAGGACTGCTTTTTTTATTCTAAAAATATCATTTGTAGTTTAAAAATATCTGGCTTTGGGGCTGGAGAGATGGCTCAGTGGTTAAGAGCACCGCCTGCTCTTCCAAAGGTCCTGAGTTCAATTCCCAAAAACCACATGGTGGCTCACAACCATCTGTAATGAGATCTGTGCCCTTTTCTGGCTTGCAGGCAGAGTACTGAGAATACTGTATACATAATAACTAAATAAATCTTTAAAAAAATATATCTGGCTTCTAAAGTAACTTTATGGTCAGCTTTTAGATGACTTTAATACTCTCCTACTCAATTTTTCGGTAATGTTACTCCAAATACTCTTCGGCTTCTACACTAACATGCCTGCTAAGCAAGCATGAAAACCATCCTTCAGTCCCACAGAGCTCACATAAAAAAGCAGTGCACACCTGTAATCCCAGCACTGAATGGAACGAGAGACAAGAGGACCCCTGGGACCAGCTCCAGGTTCAGTGAGAGATCCTCTCCCACAAACATGAAGTAGGGGAGCAACTGGGTGCAGAGGGTAAAAGCATTTGATGCACAGCCTGATGATCTGAGTCTGAGCCCCAGACCCCACAGAGGGAGAAAATGACTTCTGAAAGTTGTCCTCTGTCCTCACAGGCACACACACACACACACACACACACACACACACACACATTCAAATATAAAAGGGTGGAAAAGAGCAATTAAGGAAGACACTCCATGTCAAAGTCTGGCCTCCATGTTTGTGCACAAACACACACAATACAAAGGAATTCTAAAAGGGTGTGGTGACACAAACCTGTGTTCCCAATAGGAGTGGGGAACAGGATAGACGCGGGAGAGTCAAATTTCAAGGTCTTCATAGGGAATTTGAGGCTAGGGCTAGCCTATGTGGGAAATAACTTTTAAATACCAACAACAACAAAAATTCAAATTAAAATAGCAAAGAGAGGCCGGGCGGTGGTGGCGCATACCTTTAATCCCAGCACTCGGGAGGCAGAGGCAGGAGGATCTCTGTGAATTCGAGACCAGCCTGGTCTAGAAGAGCTAGTTCCAGGACAGGCTCCAAAACCACAGAGAAACCCTGTCTCAAAAAAAA